CATGTTTGTGTGTTCCTACAGACTCTGGGAGTTAGGCATCTATGGTGGGCCTGATGACTTGCCTGTGTCTCATTTCCAGGTGATTCCAGTGCTGATATGAGATCTGTGATCCTCACTTTAAGCAGCTCTGCTCTTGTCCTGTGTGTTCACCTTGATGCCAAATAGGAATTCCTTGGGAGATTTTATAGCTGTTCTGATGTTGGGTCTCATCTCCAGAATTATATGCTCTGTCTATCCCTGCGGTAGTAATGACCCAGGCTCAAGAATCCTTGTCCTGAAACAAAAGAAACATCATTGCATGTTTCTTGTGGGACAAGACCTTTATCATAGACCACTGGGAACAGAGAGTTAGATGCCTCTCCAGGCTTGCTGAGTGAACACATGCAGCAAGGACACCCTCTATCTGAACACCCAGTCTCTGTTGGCCTGGGCCAGGATTACAAGCTAATTACGCACCAGGAAGTTTCAGTACATAGTAGCCAGACTGAGGCCTCCACTGTGTTGTGGTAGATCAGGAGAACAGCCTGTATTCACATGATCCTTGTGGCCTATATTCATAAAGATCTTTGTTCCTGGTGCCATGCCCTCCCACAGGCCAAATACTTGGTATGAAGATCTGAAGATGGAGCATGAGGAGGTCATGACTGACCTACAGAGATTGCAGAATGAGAACAACGAGACTTCAAAGAAGGTGGATGAGCTTGCCAACCTGACAGTCTTCTATCGGTAAGTGCCTGTTGGCATGGACCCCAATAGTTGTTTGGTGGCCATTTCTGCCTTTCTTTTATTATTATTTTTTAATTTTATAATTTAATTTTACATATCTGCCACAGATTTCCATGTCCTCCCTCCTCCCACCGCGCCTCTTCTCCCCTGTCCCCCAATACACCCCCCATTCCCATCTTTCCAGGTCAAGGATTCCCCTGGAGATTCACCTCAGTCTGGTAGATTCAGTCGAGGCAGGTCCAGTACCCTACTCCCTTCACCTAGGCTGAGCAAAGTGTCCCAGAAAATGCCCCAGGCTCCAAAAAAAAAAAAACAGCTCATGCACAAAGGACAGGTCCAGGTCCCATTGCCTGGGGGACTCTGAAGCAGTTCAAGCTAATCGACTGTCTCACTTATCCAGAGGGCCTGATCCAGTTCGGGGCTCCTCATCTATTCGTCATACTCCATGTGTTTCCACTAGTTTGGCTATATGACCCTGTGCTTTTTTAAATCATGGTCTCAACATCTCTTGCTCATACAATCCCTCGTCTTTCTTGCTGATTGGACTCTCAAAGCACCTGGGGCCTAGCCATGGATCTCAGCATCTGCTTCCAACAGTCATTGGATGAGAGTTCTACCATGACAGTTAGGGTTGTTTGGCCAACCGAACACCAGAGTAGGACAGTTTGGGCTTTCTCTCGACCAGTAGTCTATTGTGGAGGTATCTTTGTGGATTTCTGGGGACCTCTCTAGAAATTTGATTCTTCCTAGTCCCATGGGGTCTTCATTTATCATGGTCTCTCTTTCCTTGTTCTCACTCTCTGTTCCTGATCCAGCTGTAATCTCCCACTCCCCTAATCTCTCTTTTCCCCAACCCTTGTCCTTCATTACCGCCCCCACACACATCCATGTAGATCTCATCCATTTCTTTGTCTTTGGGTGATCCCTGTGTCTTTCTTAGGGTCCTCTTTACTAGGTAGCCTCCCTGGAGTTGTGAGTAGCAGTCTAGTCATCCTTTGTTTTACATCTAGTATCCACCTATGAGTGAGTACATACCATGTTTG